AGACAGGCTGTGCTTTATTTTGACCTTTCTGGTTTGTTTGGCTGGCCCAGGAGGTGGAAAGTTAGGTTTTCTATTTTGACTTTTCCTGACTGGGTCATCCCCCAAGGAGCTGTGCAGGAGATGGATGTGCTACACAAAGTAAACCAGGCCTGGCGGGATACAGATGTGTGCAGGCAAGATGAAGGTAGATCATTTTATAGAGCCCTGCTTCTCATATCTGGCTCAGTCCTTTAACCTAGACATCAGTTGAGTTGCACTAATAATGCAAAGGCATTTATGTTTCTCACAGTGCAATAGCGTTCACCTTAGAGGTTTCAGTGGCCCTTCCATGCCCCAAAGGCTCTGGGAGTCTGGCTTCAACTGGCTTTAGCTGAGATACATCACTCCAAGAGCTCTTTTTCTCTGAACTGGCATAGCACAAATATATTAACCTCATCCCAAAGGCTCATTTCCCTCTCCAGACTGTTTCTGGGTCTGGTTGAGGTGATGGGTTATTGTTCATATGGATCACTGCATATTTATCAACTTTTATAGAGATCACTGGGGACTCCTTTGATATCAACTCATCCCTTGCAAGCCAAAGAAGGTCAGGCACAGAACTCCCTTTGCCTTTGATATTAACCCAAATATGAAGAGCTGGCCTGACTGCAGAGTAGGGCAACGTGCATCACAAAGTGCTCTGGAGCTAATTCTCCCCAATAACAAAGCAAGGTGTAACTGGTCACCTTGCTGACCTAACAAGGAACACGTCAACACACATGAATTCTCCATGCACCCCTTTTATTCCAGTCCTTGCCCTGGAGAGAGGGAATTCATAAGGAGCCTGTGAAATACTGCTGCTTATGGTATAGGCTGTTTCTAGCACTTAATCCTGTGTTTCTTATATATACAACACAAGAGCTTTGGGATCAAGGACTCCACGAGGGAAGGTAATTTCAATTGACTAGAGCAGCTGGAACCCAAAGCAATATTTGCTGGAAGAGCTGGAAGGGAGTATAGGAGAGAAACTTTGGGACACAAGAGAAAGGCAAAGCACTGCAGGAGGTTGTTCCCCCCATTTTCGAATTAACTTTTGCTTCAGTACAATCTCCACTCACAACGTGGTGGTCAGAGCCTGCTGACTGCTCCAGAAGGGCTCAGCAGGAGCCCTGGTCCATGCAGATGACTTGTACAAGGGTGAGAATGAAACACAGCCTGCTTGCCCAGAAATAGATTTGAGGGGGTTTTGTTTGTGTTTTGTTCTGAAACCGCTTTGCGCTCCAGCCTGGAATAACTCTTTTCTCCCACATTTCTCCTCCTTGGCTGGCTCAGATGTGCAGCCACCAGCTGTTTGCTGCGATTGTTCCTTGCTCCTTGCTCCTTCCCCTCCAAATTCTTGGGGACATTATTTTCTTGAAGCTTTTCTCAATAAGAACTTAATCAAACAAAACAAGCCCACGGCAACCCGCCGCTTCTTGGCCACTGTTTGATGTGTAAATATGTAAAGAAGGAGTGTTTGGAAAATGCAGTCAGCTACCTCCTGGGGACTTGAGTCCTACTATGAGCCAAGGTGACTCCGCAAGGCAGATGTGTGCTCCTGCAGGATTAAATTCCAGCTGCAGCAGGAGCACTGGTGACCAGAGGCACAGAGAAAACACTTCTTAAAGAGACATTTTTGAGTAGCCACATGGTTTTCACCCAGGCCAAGCATCCAGGAACCAGGCCCTCCCCTCGGGATGGCATTTCTGTCACTCCCATACTGCTGTTATCTGCCCATTTTTCTCCTTCTTGCCTCTGTGGAGCTGAGGTGATGGATCCCTCTGAACTCTGCAGATACTCATTGATTTTATGGCCTTATCAAACGTGTGTGTGTGGGGAATAGCTCCTAATATCTGACTCATTGCCATGGAGTGAAATACCTTGCACAGGCTGTGCATACTTTATGTCAGAACTACTCTGATTGCTGCCAGTGAAGTATACAGGAGGTGACTCCAAGGAAAGCCTGCAGCTTTCCTTGTGCTGGTCCTCTTGCAGGTCAGGAGATAGACTGCATACAGCTCCTGACCTGCAGCGCTCAAGCAGCTGGCTTCTACTCTTGTTCTCAAACTGCTTAAAGGGTTCTCTTCTGCTGCCATTATTAAGGAAGAAAACACACTGCAAAAATTAATACATTGCAATTTGTCAAATGAGCCCTGCTGCTATTTAATCTGTGTTTGTGAACAACAGTTCACAACACCATTAACTTCAAACCTCCTCTAGACCAAGTTCAGATTTCGAGTTGATGGGTTTGTCACAGCACGCTCACTGCCAGTTGCACTCTGTGGTGGTAAGGAGCATCAGCAATGTGTTATTTTGTAGAGATTCACAGGAGAGGGGGCTGTATCCTTACTTATCATTCCTTCAGTGCAGTGTGCCCTTGCAGCAAAAGGAGAACATACTCAAATGACATTTATCTTCTCGTTCAAAAGTCTTATTTCAATAATTTTACATCTTCTCTTTAATAGTATAGATGAGAACTCGCTCACTTGCACAGATGAAGCTCTGACATGTAAAAGACTGGCCCTGGCTCTTGGAGAGCAACGCTCTTATTCAAGGAAAGGTGTTACTCCTCAGTACTAGGGACCTGGTACTTGGTTGTGTACTCATCAGGATCAGGTGCTGAACTCACTCAGGCTCCACCTCTTAGGTATCCCTGCCTAAAATGGCTAGAAAGGGTGTTTCCATGCCTAAGTGTCTGCTCAAACTCCAAGCAATTTAATCTATTCAGGTGCAATACACAGTATCAGTCATGATGACTGGAGATAAAGTGTGAAGCTGGTTGTTGAGGAGTTAAGGGGGAAACAAATCTGCATTCAGCTTGGAGCTTTGAAAGTCAAGCAGATGATGTCCAGCTCTGAGAAAGCGGTCCCTTTACTCGAACTGAAAGAAAGGAAGAAGGCAGTGTGCTGCTGTTGGATAAGCTTCAACAGCAAATTTTGCCTGTTTTTGTCTCTGCCCACATGCAGCTCAGAAACAACCCCCTCCTCGAGCTGAGTGCTCCATAGTGTGCCAGGTTAGTGCTGCAGAGGGGAGCCTGGCAAAGGCACCAGTGGTTTCCTGGGTGCTTTGTGTCAGCCTGTCTGCGATTGAGGCAGATATCCACATTGTTTGCAGCCTTTGGCTTAAAAGCAGTGGCATTCTTTGGCAGGTATTTCCCTTTGTTTGCTCTCATTTGTTTTGCTTGCTCTCATTTCTAGGATGACTTTCTATTACCACAAAAGAAGCACTTGCTGCTCATTTCCCCTCTACTTCACCATGCAACACCTCCTTCAGCCAGTACCATCCCTGCAGCTCCTGGACTTTGCAGCCTCTTGAGAAATGGTGGGTTGGAAACTCCCTAAGTACTCCTGCTTGAAGTCTTTGTTGGGCTGATCTCTCAGAAAGGTTAACATGAGCACCACGCTAGGCATGCACTGTGTGAGAGACACAATACCACATACTTATGCATACAGTAAAGATGAAAGGCTCGTACTGTACTTCAGAGCATGGGATGCTTTAATCCTGAAATAGCATCTTGCTGATAGTAACAAGGTCTGTTTGTTTTTCATATGCCTATTTGGGGAATGGCTGCTCTTCAAGTAAACATTCTCTCTTGCATGAAACCACCAGTATTTACCTTGACAAGATAGTTTATTATCATTCTTAATTTTCTCTTCCTTTGAACGTTTCCGTTCTCTTAACAGGATGGCAGAACCATTGTATAGAGAAACAATCTCAAGTGAACAAACTCCTGCAGCTTAGCACAGCCCTGCTCATCAGCTGAGCTCAGAACCTGACCATAAGCATGTTCTCAGTTCCCTCCACTCCTCAATCACACATCACTTTATGTGATGCTTAAGGTGATTTAAGATGCTATAGCTTATTTAGCATTTTTAATAGGCCAGATGTGCCTAAGTAACAAGTTCTCCATTTGATAGGCATTATTTCTGAAAGGTGAAATGAGAAAAACACCAATGCTGGAAGTTACGTGGTGCACCAGTACATAACCATACAAAACAGGACAACTGAAAATATTTTTAGATGTAAAGAGGTTAAGGAGAAAGGAATTAACCACAGAAAAGACAACAAACCTATCTCAAGAACTTCATCTATTTCACTGCCTGAGTGGACCTCGGGAAGTGCAATGGGAAGCAGGGCTAACTTTTGCTGAACTCCTACTTGGCTTCATGATTCGATCCCTGCTGACAAATTCAGTGGATTAAAAGAGGCAGTGGATGTGCAGAGAGACAATGTGGCTCTGCCTCCCATTATCCCAGCAAGGGAGATTAATAAAAGTGATGCCAGTATCTATTTTCCTCTATGTCAAGTGAACCTGCCTCAGTGCACAGCACAGTTTACTTCAGGTTTCCCCAGACTCCCCAGAAGATGAACCTGTCTCTCAAGCGCTCCCAGCAGATAGATGACAATACATAAAATACAGACTTGGAAGGTATTTCATACAGGATGATGGATAGACATAAAAGAGGGGGCAGCTTATCTAGTTCCTTCCGTCAGCTCTGCTGGGACCTTTCCTGTCCCAGCAGATGTTCTCCAGTGCTTTGCCCAAGCTAGTTCTTAATCTCATGGGCTAAAACTTCTATCACTTCTCTTGGGAAACCATGCCCCTAGCTCTGGACCTCACTAGGATATCTCCTCCCAGTCTCCTATTAAAACTTAAGTCCTGATCACTTTCAAGCCATTTCTGCTTCCCTCCATGGAGACCCTGTCCTAGCACAAAGATGCTGCTTCAGACGTACGAAGTGACTTTAAATGTCCTAGTTTCAGACTAACTCCTCAGAGCAGTTCTCCATTCTGTGCCTTTGATTTAACATGTGGTAAAATGAGGTAGATCTCAAGTGGTTCCTAAGTGAGATGGTAATCTATGCACGTCCTCTCAGCTAAACATGGGCAGACATCACCCATTCCTACTGGCAGGTGAAGTAGGACCACACAAAAAATGAGGAAGAACCCAGTAGAAGTCATTATAAACATCAAGTCCTTACCTGTCACTACCAGCTGCATGGTGAGGTTCTTGTAGAGTCCATACTTTGCATTGCTCAGGACAATGGTGTAGTTTCCAGCATGCTTTGGTCTCACGTCTCTTATGCCCAGTCTGTACTTGAGTGGCTCTGGCTCATAGCACGTGTGGTTGTCCTTGATCAGTTTGCCATCTTTGTACCTGTTTTGAAAGTCCCATCAAAGCTCATCATATACCTTTGTGCATGTCAGCCATCAGGAAACCCAACTGCTGCCCAGGTTAGGGGGGGTAAAGAGTCATCCTTCAAAACAGCAAAGGTTGGACAGGGCTTGGAGCAACCTGCTCTAGTGGAAGGTGTCCCTGCCCATGTCAGGGGTTGGAACTGTGTGACCTTTAAGGTCCCTTCCAACCCAAACCAGTCTGGGATTCTACAATTCTACGATGTATGACCACTACTTGAACTGGACATCTATTCCTTTTATCTTTCCACGCTAAAACTGTGTAGTGTCTGCAGTGCTATGGGATGGCTTCATCCAGCAAACAGGAAAAAAAGCATTTTAATAGATCTGGATGAACAGTACCTCTCAAATGCTCAACTGTGATCAGAAATGTACACCTAGATGCCCTCAAATTATTCTGGATGTGCAATGCTAAGTGCAGGAAATCACAGATTAGCCAAAATTCATGTCATCAGTTTTGAAACAATATATTAATTAGGCAAAAATGTCTTTCTATATGTATGTGTGACCCTTTACTGTTGCTGTAAAAGGTGGAGTCTGTGACCTGGAGAATTTACAGTCAATAGGAAGGTCAGTGAGGAATTTATTTCCAATATGCAGATTTGAGTTATGATTATGGAATAGGCCAGACTTTGCCACACACAGAGCTTTAGGCTTGGTGCAAGGAGAAGCTGAGGCACCAAGTCCTTCTGCTTGAGAATGCTGGAAACCTCCTTTACGGCCGTTTAAACAACTGTAGTGAGAGAGCTCCAACATCAACAACTGTGGCTTCGAACACGCAGGGAAGGCAGCTCTGGTGGTCCCAGGCAGCTCCTAACCAGCGCCATGCTGAGCCCCAGGAACAAAGCCTTGGCAGAGGAGAGGGGACGGACCCCACTTCAACTCACAAAAACATTTCCATCTCCTAAATAACAGCAACATTTAGAAACACCTCCTGGCAGCACTGATTGCACTGATGTGAGTGAGTATTAGAGAATTATATGTTATTGCACTGCTAAAAACATGCAGCAAACCCATCCCTGAGCATTCCTTTGCTGACTGCCACGGGCAGGGACACCTTCCACTAGAGCGGGTTGCTCCAAGCTGCATCCAGCTTGGCCTTGAACACTGCCAGGGATGGGGCAGCCACAACTTCCACAACACATTCCCCTTCCTATTAAGCTGATCCATTACAGTCCTGGTGGAGCCGTTAGTTTGCCTGGAAGGATTCACTGCATTGTCTGCAAGGATCTGACATTGCTGGTGGTACAGGGTTGGAGAGCATTATTTAAAAGCCATGAAGAGAAACAATTTCTGATGCTGAAAATGTGTCCTGCAGCTTTTTGTTATCCACTGCTTCTTTGCAGACTGGCAACCCTTCCCCAGTAGCTTCCTACTTGAATCTTCCAAACAGTTCTGTGTCCAGGGTAAATGAAAACCCCATTTTCCTTGTAGGGACCTTTTCTGCATGACAGGAGAGAAAAAGAGCATGGGCAAGAAGTATGGCTCCCCCAGCTTCACGGAGCTAAGACAACATGGGAAGGAGTCAAATCGCCGTAGCTGACCTGTGGGAGCACAGCTATGAGCATTCCCAGTTCTCATCTTTATCTGAGTGATAGGAACAGTGAAATCTGCTCTAGACAGGAGTCCAAAGGAAGGTCCAGTATCCCTGAGTTTGCTCAAGTTGATGGTACTCACCAGGTGACGGTTGGGCGAGGAAAGGCATCCACCTTTGCAGCCAGTTTCAGTGACTTGTGTCCTGATGTAATCTCATAGTAAGGCCCTTTCTTATGTGAAACCGTAATGAAAGGTTTGTCTGGAAAGAGAAAGGAACAGGAAGACAGTAATGGAGATGTGCCACACAGTGCTCACATCTTTGGGTTGTGTTGTGTCTGCCCTGGAGTTCTAGCAATAGAGACCTGCAGAAGCTGCAGACAACCAAATAGACTCACCAGCTGTTACCACAGTTCCCCTGCAAAGCTCAGCCACAGCCAGAGAAGGTCTATCTCCAAATGAAGGACTTGATGTTTAAAGCAAGGAATACACATCTGCATTGCTGCTCGAGCAGTGTGTACAACCGTATCCTGGGCTGCATCAAAAGGAGCGTGACCAGCAGGTCCAAGGAGGTGATCCTGCCCCTCTGCTCTGCTCTCGTGAGACCTCACCTGGAGCATTGTGTGCAATTCTGGTGTCCTCAACATAAAAAGGACATGGAACTGTTGGAACAAGTCCAGAGGAGGCCACAAGGATGATCAGGGACTGAAGCACCTCCTGTATGAAGACGGGCTGAGAAAGTTGGGGCTGTTCAGCCTGGAGAAGAGAAGGCTGCGTGGAGACCTCATAGCAGCTTCCAGTATCTGAAGGGGGGCTATAGGGATGCTGGGGAGGGACTCTTCATTAGGGACTGTAGTGATAGGACAAGGGGTAACGGGTTAAAACTTAAACAGGGGAAGTTTAGATTGGATATAAGGAAGAAGTTCTTTCCTGTTAGGGTGGTGAGGCACTGGAATGGGTTGTCCAGGGAGGTTGTGAGTGCTCCATCCCTGGCAGTGTTCAAGGCCAGGTTGGGCAAAGCCCTGGGTGCCCTGGTTTAGTGTGAGGTGTCCCTGCCCATGGCAGGGGGGCTGGAACTGGATGATCTTATGGTCCTTTCCAACCCTAACAGATTCATTAGAGATTATAGATGATTAATTGTTAACTAGTTGCCATTCTCCCTTCTTTAAGCTTAACAATCTTGGTTCTCGGGTATTCTGGTTCAGCTGCAGAACTCACCATACACTGTAACTGTGACATTGGCCTCCAGCCGTGTCACGTTGAATGTTTTGCACACATAGAGGCCTCCGTCTTGCATGGTGATATTTTCAATTGTCAGGCTGCTGCCAACCTTATACACCATGCCACTCTGGTCAATGGTTCTCCTAGGATAAGGGTGCTGGAAATCAGAAAAAGAGGGGTCAAAAAAGCAGCATAAAGTGGATTATTTTGCTCATCCTTTCAAAGTCTGCCAGTAAAGAAAAGCAGTGATTCATATCCAAATTATCATATCTCCCATCACTGGAATAAATAATATGAAAGACAAACCAGCAGGAAGAGCCCTTGTGTGAGGTTTCATTATCAAGTCTAATAAGAGAGAGAAGCAGAGTGGAACTGCTGAAATCTGGGCAGGAAGGTCAGTACAGGGATGTGTCACGGGTCAGCCCTTCTCAGGGACCACATCCCAGGGATCTCAGTCCAAAACTGCTGCTGTCATTGTCAGGTCAGGGTTGTGCTTTGGGGTTTTGTGAGCTTTTGGGGTTTTTGGTCACAGTATTTTTCTATCTTTAAAAACTCCTACTTTCACAAAGAAATATATTATGACAGAAATACAATATATTATGACAGGCAAGTGCCAATGCAAATTCCTGAAGACTTTTAGAAAGCATTATTGCTTCCGAAAGGAATTTTTGATCCCAGAGATTTGGCCAAGAAATTTCACATGTATAATGTTGGAAATCTAAGGAGGGTTCATGCAAGAACAATTCCCATCATATGGGGTTCGAGGAACAAATTTGAGGAACGTCATATTGCTCGCACTCTATAAATTCTGTGTTGTATTTCCTGCAGCTTCTTCACCAAAATAGAATCATTCTTTAAGTTAACAAAATTAATCAAAAATAATCAAGTTTTAGGGTTCACATTTTACGCTTCCCCAAGAGGCTTAGATGCTGCTTTGAAATGTGTGTTTTGTTGCACTAAAAAGAAAACAAGCAATCATTTTAATTCTAAACATCAAACAGAACCATGGGTAGTAGCTCGAATAAATGAACTGATTTGGAAAATACTCCGTCTTCCCTCTGTTTTTCCTTAGGAGAACTGAAAGGTTTCAGTACATCAAAGCAAATGCTCAGTCTCTTGCAGGATTCTACTTCCAATTTGGCATTTTTGTATTACATTCTACAGAAAGCTCAGGAACCTGCACTCGGAATTTTAATGTCATTCTTTGGTGGACATCTCAGCAGATACATTTGGCTTTTGTTTCAGTTATACCTACTTAATAAACACCAGGACGGATGAGCACACTGACGGCTTGAACCTTCATGGCTGCCACTGTGAGCTGAGATTTAGCCTGAGATTTGCAGTTTAATTTGCAGGTTCAAGACGGTCAGAGAAGTTTTTGATTGATTCAAACTAAGAATACAATCAATTGTAGGCTTACAAGTGGTTGGACGTATCTCAGAATAAGTAGTTTACTCAACCCTGTGCAGAGATCTTCCTTTTGGGTATGGGGAGGCTGTGAAAGCAGAATACAGAGTTTTCATCAACTCACTTTCCCACTGGGACTTGTCCATATGAGCTCGATTCGTCCATTGATGAAGGTTTCTGCTCTGCATTCCAAATAGAGAGTTTCTCCAACCAGCAGTTTCTTGGGAGTTGCTTTCAGAGCCAGGTTCTGTACTCTGCCCTCTGCAATGAAAAAACCAAAGCTATCACCACTGAGCACTCTGTATCAATCACAATTCAGATGGAATCTGCACTCCAGCTGCCTCTCCAACATCTGCTCCTTTCCCAGGTTCCAAAACATCTCACCTTCTTGTCTCATTTCTATGGAAATAGTGTGAAATGCCCCCACAATGCAAACATGAAGTCAGTTGTATAAATGCCTGATACCAGCTAATCAAACTGATCACATGGACTCAGTAATTCATTAATTACTTCTCTTGCATGTGCCAGGTTCAGCTCCAACCCTCATTCATCACTCCAGAGCCATCCTCAAAAGGGTTTTCAAAGCCAACTCATCCTTTTGAGTGCCTCAACATCTGCCTATCTGCGAGAGGATTCATCTCTGGAAAACATAAAACATGCTTCTCATGCCCAACAACCTTTTCTTTCTGAATGGGATCCCCAAATCTTGGTCTTACATATTTATTTATGCCTTAAATAGGTCAACTCTGAAATAAGCCTGCATAAAGTTTATGGTGGCCCACACTAAACAAATGTCTGACCACTATACATGCTCTAGAGTAAGGTATTGCCCGGGTCCTTCTGGGCTACAAAGGAACGATCGAATGGGCTTTGTAGCTTTGCATTCATGATTCTACTAAAAAATAATTACCCCAGTAATGAAGAGAAAGAGAGAGATTTGCAGGATTTATTTGGCTGCCATTCAAATTTACAAGCCTGTTGTTCAAAGCTGAGAGCTAATTGTATAGAAGGATGCCATGACCTAATGGGAATGAAGTCACAATAAACCCTCCCCTGTCAGAAATATAATATATGAGAAGAGAAAGAACATACATCAAAAACAAAGGAAAAATATATCTTAATGGGCTGTATATAAACTCCCAATAATCAAAACTGTCATGTCTACTTGCTTCAAACTTAGGTTTTAATTCTGAGTTAAGCTCAGCTGTGAATACAAGGGAGAGGGTACAGTAAATCACCTCGAGAAACTATAAAACAATGCAAAGGTCTCAATTAGCAGTTTAATGAGCTTTTTATACCATGATCTTGTGTGTTTAATGAGCAAAGAGAAAGGTACTATTTGGTTGCTCCTAAACCAGCAGTTGTTTTAATGTAAATACAGCTCAATCCAAGCAAACAAAGCCTTGGTGGGGGTTGAATAAAATGCTCCTAGTTTGTACCACCTCAATGCTTGGTCATTTTTCAAACCCAGGGATGGATCAAATCCAAGTTCTAATGAATAGGAAAAAGGGGAAGAATGAGTTTGCTTGGACTTACTACAGATCCATACCAATTAGATATATCAAATAGAATTGAGGCTAACCAAGAAATAATACCCAGGGGCTTAGCTATGAAACAGAAACCTTGCGGTGACTCCTTGGCATGCGGCTGTCACTCACCCAACCTCTGTGCTAGGTAGTAGGAGGTGAACACGCTTCCATTCACTGTTGCAGTGCATGTGAGGACACCAGAATAAATGAAAGCATGAGAGGGGATGACAAATCCTCTTCTTGGGTCCCACACCATCCTCTTGAAGTTCATCTCTACAGAATACGGATACTGAAAGAGAACAGATGGAAGGCTTATGAGACATCCCCCTTCCCTTCAGACCACAGAGGCAACCAGCCAAGGCTGTTCTTCCTTGCAGGCAGGGTGGCTCTTTGACCTTTCCGAGTGGTTGGTGGTCTCATTCCACACATATCTTAAGCAACATCAACATAAGCAAATAGAAAAGCCCTCCCTAAGGTAGGACCGTCTTTGAAATCAAAAACTTGGACATTGTAACTGGGCCTTTGATTCAGTAGCGCCGGTACTTTCAGATCTTAGGCAAAATACCATGTTACCCATTGTAGGAGCCATGTCCCTGATCTCTTTGCTGGAAAAATATTACAGCTATCTTGTATTAATTCTGTTGAGTAATCCTTCTGGAAGTGCTTAAGAACAAAGTTTGCGGCTTCTAATGCTACATGTAGCTACCACATGTTCTCCTGGGATCTCATAGTACTTTAAAAATATTTATGAAAAAGAGAAATATTCATGTCACTAACTCACCTGACAGCAGTCACTTATAAGCTATGGGCTATGGCTAGTCATCAGGTTCTCTCTATAGCACAGAAAGGGGTGAGGCTCTTTCAAAGCAGCCTGTTGATGTCCAGGAGGCACAGAAGGATGACTTAAGGTGGAAATCACGGAATGCAGGAATAAGGAAATTTAGTAACATAGATATTTTTGGTCCTAAATTCAGAAATATTTATAATGTTCTGGAAAAAAATGGTGTCTATAAGTTCTGCTTATGAGGAAGAAAGGGACCTTAAAGCTCATCCAGTTCCAACCCCTGCCACGGGCACGGACACCTTCCACTAGAGCAGCTTGCTCCAAGCCCCTGTGTCCAACCTGGCCTTGAGCACTGCCAGGGATGGGGCAGCCACAGCTTCTCTGGGCACCCTGTGCCAGCGCCTCAGCACCCTCACAGGGAAGAACATGAGAATATGTAGCACTTCTGCTTTTATTCTTCTTGTTATGCAGCATGCGATTTGTTTTCCTGTCTGCAAATAAACACCCATCGTGTATGGCAGTGCAGTTTAAATAGGATTCAGTTTAAATACTACTCCTGTTCCAAAGAAATTTCAGCTTCAGGCTTTGCGAGCTGATGCTCATACTCCTCATACAGACACAGGTTGGCACTGATTTAGGTTGCTTGTTATTACATTTCCAGCACAGACCAAAGACGAAGGAGTCAGGACTGTGGGACAGTGACTGGTGATGCTGCTGGGGGGAGGAGGAGGCACAGCAAGACAGGAGCTTTCTTTGGGAAAAGCAATTCTCTTCTGGCAGTCGTAGGAAACATGGATTTCATGTAAATACTCTTGAAGTAATCAAACTGTGGCATTTCTGCTCAGAACCATTAGGGAAACTCAGGGAAATTACAGCAAGAGATCTGAGACCTGAGGCTTAGTCGTGCTTTAACACCCATGAAGGTCAAAGCTGTAAGTGGCAAATGCACATTGAAACACATTGGTGACTAACCAGATCTGACAGGGCTGAAAGGGCTTTTTTTGCCTACAATTAAAACCATGTTAAGCAACATTAAAAGTTTGAACTGTGTGTCTTAGCAAGGGTTTATTAATAACACAGATGATCTGCAGTTAGTTGGGATCTGTTTAGTATTAGCAAGAGGTACCTTTCCCCATACATATTTAAAGACCAGAGAGTGCGATGATTTTAAAGTATAATGGTAACACGAGGAACCTCATTTAGGGGAGAAAAAAAGTACGTTTTCTACAAGAATAATAAAATGTGATAAAGCTGAACTTCATGGTTTGGCAGCTCTGCTCCCTGATGGCAAGGGGAAGGCAAAAATAACCCTGCTCAGGAGGCCCTTTTCAACACTACCCACCATGAAACATCTTCATAAAATATGCAAAAATATATATTTAAACAATCAAACCATAAGCGTCAATGGTGCTCGAAGGAAGCCGCAGTGGCCTTCCTCCCTTTGAAGTGCCTTGTCTGCTGCAGATTAAATTTGGAAGAAGAGGATGTTCTAAATCTGTCTGATCACCCTGTTCCCCCCCATCCTCACCTCCACCCCTCTCCCGCCCCGCTTCCTCTTTGCACGGGAAGCCGCCACCTTGGCTCCACACAGCGCTGCGACATTCCCAGACTGGGCGAAACAAGCACTGACTTTCCATAGATGGACCTGAGGCTGGTGGCTCCTGAAGCCAGCGCTGCTTCCCAAAGATTACATTCCGGCAGCACCTTGCAGCAAGGTAAAGGACTTGAGGAAGAAATTCTTTACAACAAGGGTGATGAAACACTGGCACAGGTTGCTCAGAGGGGCAGGGGATGCACCATCCCTGGAGACATTCAGGGCCAGGCTGGATGTGGTTTTGGGCAACCTGATTTAGTTGAAGGTCTCTCTACTCATTGCAGGGGGTTGGACAAGATGAGCTTTGAAGGTCCCTTCCAACCCAAACTATTCTATATGATTCTATGACTTCAAGTTTGGGTTTGAACTCATTACAAGGAGAGAATTTATCTGGCAAGCAGGGCTGCCTGTAAATAAGGGCATAAATGTGGAGGTGTGCTTGGTCCAGGGTCCAAGGGCACATTTAGGCTCACATGACTGTGCTGGCAGCAGAACCCCTGCAATGAATTTGGTTGAAGAAGGCTAAAACAAGATGGGGATGTTTCATTTTTATATCCAAGGAGGAGAAGGTGATAACACATATCAAGGCTAAAGGGCTAAGCTATAGCTGGAGAGGAGCCTTATTCCTCCCCTTTTAGTCCCTACTGACAACTTTCAAGCAGAGCTCTGTTAAAGCCATAAGGCCAGCGCTGTCCCTCAGCACGTCTACTGGAAATGTGCCATTGGGCTCAGCAGGAGCCAGAGCATTCTCTCAAGCCTCTGTGATCTCATGTGCTGTCTCCCAGGAGAAGGAGACGTCTAACAACTAAGACATCCAACTGCTAAGAGGAGCAGAGGTGCATCAGCCTATCTGCCTGTGCTCCACTGGCACACTCCATCCAGCAGAACAGCCTCATCTCCCAGCCCCTCCAGAACACCCTGTGCAGAAGGGGCAGAGACAGAGCTGTTGTTCCCATTGGCACAGCTCAAGCAGGGGAACAGAAAGGCACATCTATCAGATAAAGCCAGGGTGGGAGCCAGGAGACCTATGTTCTGTTCCTCACTCTGTGGCAGGCTTCTCTACAGAGCAGTTCTAAAGCCCTTCAAAAAGTGACCAGACCTCCATCAACTGAGGAAGCCCCAGACCTTCAATTTCCATTTTTATTACACAAAATGGCCTTGGCCTCCATAGACCATTCTGTAACCTTAACATTCAGCTGGAATTGCCGCCCAAGAGATGGATGCTGCAGCCATTTATTCCCAAGGCTGAAACTTGCTTTAAATCTATGAAATCGATTGAAAATGGGCAAACAGCTCTGAGAAGGTTCAAGGTATAAAAGAGAGAAGCTTTCAGGAGGATAGCAAATAGCCAGGTACTACACTAAGAATTCTGAAGAACTGAGCATTCCTATCTTTGCCAATTTATGGAGGAACATCAAGCCACAAGATGAGATAAATATGTGATAAATTCAGCCTGTCCCCTGGAGCACCCTTGTACACAGCTCAATAGCAATAACACAGCTCAATAGCAATACACAGCTCAATAGCAATAACACAGCTCAATAGCAATACACAGCTCAATAGCAATAACACAGCTCAATAGCAATACACAGCTCAATAGCAATACACAGCTCAATAGCAATACACAGCTCAATAGCAATAACACAGCTCAATAGCAATACACAGCTCAATAGCAATACACAGCTCAATAGCAATAACACAGCTCAATAGCAATACACAGCTCAATAGCAATACACAGCCCAATAGCAATACACAGCTCAATAGCCATAACACAGCTCAATAGCAATACACAGCTCAATAGCAATAACACAGCTCAATAGCAATACACAGCTCAATAGCAATACACAGCTCAATAGCAATACACAGCTCAATAGCAATAACACAGCTCAATAGCAATACACAGCTCAATAGCAGTAACACAGCTCAGTAGCAATACACAGCTCAATAGCAATAACACAGCTCAATAGCAATACACAGCTCAATAGCAATACACAGCTCAATAGCAATACACAGCTCAATAGCAGTAACACAGCTCAATAGCAATACACAGCTCAATAGCAGTAACACAGCTCAATAGCAATACACAGCTCAGTAGCAATACACTAGCCAGCTTCATCCATTGTAGTTTGTATTTTGCCCACTGTGCTGGCAGCCCAGCCTCTGAACTGATTCTCTTCAACACTCACTTACCTGGGTGAGCTTGGGTTTGATATCTGGCGAGGTGACTCGGCAAGGGACAACAACTGTTTTCTTAGCATCTAAAATGTAGATTATTTCGGGATGTTCCGGGTGAATCTCCACAAATGGATTTCTGTAGTCTGCAGGGAAAAGAACACTGATTTGCAAAACTGCTCCTTTACTGATCAGTGGCCATAAGGGCAGGGTAATGGAGTGGTAAACTGCCCATAGAAGGCTCATGTGGCATGTGACAGGACACTCGGTCACATCTTGGTTCTTTGCAAACGCCAGTATCATCTAGGGATTATAGCCAATGGCCAAGAATGAGAATACCCCATTTCTAACCCTATTTTACCAGTGTAATCTTATAAAATCTCCTTTTCTTATCTATTCTCCATCTGCAAAAATGAAGTTCATAAATGAGCTCCACAGGTCTCCATGGCGCTGGAGTTAGTTCTTTCCCCAGTGCTCTGAATTTCTTTCATAGGTGGTATCACCCTGCAGCACTCCTGAATTCCACAGTAATTGTTACAATGGCTTTGCAGCAGTAAATGTAAAGCAACTGAAAAGCTGCTTTCTGTAAGTGAGGATCTCCAGAGTACTGCAGAAGACATGCAAAAAGGGGCTGTAGACCCAGCATAGACAAAGCCAGGCAAGACTGATATGTGTAATCCAACAGTGAAGGGACCTGGTCCTTTTATTGTGCCACAATAAATCAGACTGTACATACATATACAATAGAAATACATAAAAATCCAAAATAATACAAGTTGATAAAGCTCCTGAGTGTCCTTCACTGATTTTTCATTGTGTGAATAAAGTGAAGGTCATTAGAAAATTAAAATCATGTTTATGAAATCCTAAACCCTTCAAGATTCTTCTAAAAAGCATTCTCTGATATTCTTATGGTATAAAGTGGCAAATACCCTTCAGCCCATGCTACAGATTGATTAGATATAAGGAAGAAATTCTTTCCTGTAAGGGTGGTGAGGCACTGGAATGGGTTGCCCAAGGAAATTGTGAATGCTCCATCCCTGGCAGTGTTCAAGGCCAGGTTGGACGAAGCCTTGGGTGCCTTGGTTTAGTGTGAAGTGTCCCTGCCCATGGCAGGGGGGTTGGAACTGGATGATCTTAAGGTCCTTTCCAACCCTAACTGTTCTATGATTCTATGATTCTATACCAACAGCACCACAGGATATAGGCGATCAGCCACTTTTGGGTTGGATTATCCTATCAAGGAAAGGATGTGCTCCCTGGACAATAACCTCAACCTGCTTATCCTTAGCTTGGGACCTGCCTTCACACACTTAATTACAGTTTGGAAGTAGGTTCACCTAAAACACGGGAAATAGCTGACATGTTCAGGTTTGTGAACAATCTGGGTTGCAAAAATATGCTCTAAAGTATTGTGGTAGTACTTTCAAAAAGGATGTGCTATGAGGAAATTGAACCCTAATCAAGCCTTAAGCTGAGGAACCTCGTCTCCAGACCACAACTCTGTAGCTGATTCCAATCCCTAAAACTAATAGGAAATATTTATACTCAATCCAGATCAGTAAGATCCTGGATTATTAGAAGTTGATCTTTGGATTATTCATTATAGGAAAAAGCAGAGAAAGAAGATTTTTGTGTATTTGCAACAAGCAGAGTGCAAATAAGTGTGGGGAAGGGTATTCGTATCTATTTCTAGATAGCAATAAACTATTTAGGACAACTGATGTGCTGTGTCACACGGGTCAGGACAAGAATAAGGGCCAGAGGAAACGTGCTGTGAAGAAAGGAGCTTCTTGATACCAGACTTCACAAATCTGGATCAGGTTTTGACTAACTGCTTTGACTGGAAAGATGGAACTCTGAATTTGAAACTATTCCTGCCAGTACTTTTTTAGAGGGAATTTCAGAGCAGCACTGTTTGTTTAAAAAGTAACATAAATCACAAGGCAGCAGCTAAGCAAATGTTAAACAGTCCTAAAATGTCAGAAAATATTGAACTATGCAGTGATTGAAATGTCTTAGTCAAAGGGAATACAATTTCTCAAACATATTTCCTGTTCAGGGAAAGGAAATAATGACTTAACCCCGTTCTCCTCCATCACCTCTCCCTACCTCCAGCACTGACCTCGACCAACGGTGCAGACTCAGCATAGACCCAAAAATCGTCTGTTTCCAGCTGTAAATAGGGCAGATACTCATCATGGTGCCATTAAACGACTGAAGAATGGGAAGCATGAATTTACAGAAGCTGTATTTCATTTCTAATTGATTTTAATAGCAGCCTGCACCTGAATTGCTGTATGTGTAGCCAGCAGCTAGAATTACACTGTCCCAGATCATAAGCTACAATCTGAAGCCAAAATATATAAATCTAGCCTTCTAGCATCAGTCTGTGGAATCTAGACAGTGTTTATATATCCCTGTGCAATTAACAACAGCAAAAGGCAGGCTGGGGTTATAAAGATGGAGTTGGGAAAGGAAAAGCTGGCTTGAGCTGTTATTGATTGTTGATCACTAGTGGATGTCAGGTCTCAAGGGCATTATTCTCGCTGTTTTGAAAGGGAGGAAAAGGTTCTATGTTTTATGGGTCCCTCCCTTTCCTACAGTGAGGTCTCCTAGAGCCCTGTGCAGTGAGCAGATGGCTGTCATTTGTGTTATCTCAATGCTTTATCCAGTGTATAGCTTTAGCCTGAAGAGTTCTCTGTCTACCAAGAGCCTCCTTTTCTCCCTATTTCAGTGTCAGTACTGGAGCTCCTAAACAGGGTGGGATACTTGGGTGAGTGAGTGGAGCAGCTCCCAGTGCAAAGATGCTAATATGGCACCTACTTGCAGTGCTAAACTACTACAGTTTTGACATGAGAGCTTAACCATCTTTGGCCTAACCATCTTTGGCCATTGGGGAATTGGATCCTGGAACGAGAGGAAAAGGCAGCTGCAGGTGGAGGTCAAGCACTCACTGTATTACCCTGGGTATGTCAGGGAGGCTTTTTTTCCTCCCTAACTGGAATCCTCTGTGCAAAAGAAAACCTTATATCATCAAGCACTAAAGAGTACCAAGACACAAGCCCGAGAGCCAGCCTCTGTGGGCCCTGCAGCCTGTGTGTGCTTTGCTCCAGCAGCTCTAAATCCCATGTAAACAGGAGCAAGCAACTGACCCCACTGGGGTTGGGAAGGAGACACTGAGCACTTCCCAGGCTGTTCCCTGAAGAGATAAGCAAATAGAAAGTGGCTCAGCTTTGGATCTTAACAAAATGACAATGAATAAATACCGAATAGGGAACTAATCAACTGCCAGCTGATACCTTTGCTATGGTTTGTGCAGACAAAAAACTGAGTCCGTCATGAAACTCCCAAGTAGTTCAGGCTGTGGCATGGAAAAATGATCTGCTGGAACATCAGGAGTGTCACTGTCAGCTTCCCAAATGCATCCACCACCCCAGGTTCATCAGCAACCAGTTAGCTGCTTGTAGCAAAGTCTCTCAGAGACAGAACTTCTTGGAACAAAAGGGACAGCCTTACTTCTCCTTACAAATGATAACCTGAGCCTCAAGGAAGATCTCCAGTTCCAGATGGCAGAAATCAATTGCACTCAAGTGCTGCAATGCGGAGAGCTGTGGCATGGGAAATGCAGGTGTCATCCTCTCTCAGTTCCCAGCACTGAACTCTGAAGGGGGAGATTGTCAGCAAAGAAACACTTGATGAAAAGAGTCTTTCCCTGTAGCTTGGCACATCTGTTCCTCCTGAGCTGAGGAATAACGTGCCCTATGAATCTCACCCATAAAGAAACACCCATCAGTTCCCATAGGATAAATAAAGAGAATAATTTACCGTGGGCTGCAAAGCTCATTGCATGTGAAGAAAGACAAGAGCTGCAGCACGCTGGGGGTTTATCAGCTGCAGCACCAGGTCCAAGGCAAGGGAAAGGCCCCTTCCCTTCAGTCTCAGACTGGCTGGCTGGCTCTCCAGGTCAGTGGAAGTTTGCAGGAAGCTGCAGCCCGGCCAGGGTGTTACTGTTTACCCAGAAGGGCTCAAGAGGGAACACAAACACGAAGTGAAGGAAGCAAAGGCAGCGGGATGGTGGAGGGGAAGAGGCCTGCGGTCCAGCCATGGGGAACAGCCAGGCAGCAGTATCAAGCACAAAGCAACTCAGAGGTCAAGTGCCTACAGGAACGTTGTTCACTTCCAGGCAGTGAAGCCCTTCAACCCACAGCAGTGTTTAAATTCTCTTTCTGTTTAGGAAAAGAGATAAATTACTGCTTGAGATGTGCTTGGGGATGGTTCCTGTGAGCTCAAGGGTGTAATAGCAGCAGCCTGGGGAACGTGCAGCTCCCTCCCCAGACCCTGCAGTGACAGTGTGTGAACACTGATCCAGGACCCCTTTCCCTGGCAGTGACATCGGTCCTTCTGTTCAGTGCTCTCTGGAGCAGAGGTGACTATCTACAGGAAGTGGTGGGGGGCTGGAATTATGTCATGCTCACTTGGCATTTGAATCCCACTCTCCAGAGAGCTTGCGGCCCTGTCCTGCCAGCTGAGGATGCTGGGGGACTTAAATGCCCTCAGCACTGCACCCCAGGAGCTCAGCATGTCGTATACTCCTGCAGCTCTTTACCTTAGAGCATCCTGTCACCTGCCTGTGTGTTGGAGACATCCTCCTGAGGCACACACAGGATTCTGTACAAGATTTTGGGTGCTTCTCATTTCTGCTCCCGTTTCATACACCGTGACAGCAATTTGTCTCTTGATATTTGTATCATATCTAAAGCTGTGGAGATACCATCACCTCTCCCTTCAGATATTATTCCATCAGCCCACAGAGCTGATAAGCACGAAATGGCCTTTGAGGACAGCCATCCAGGGCTGTTCATGTCTGTGAAATTCCTATTTTGTTCCTGCTAAAGATAATTCTCTCCCCCTTGCTATTTATTTTCTTCATTCAGTCCTACCTTAGCTGGGAGGCCTGAGCAGAGTTTCGCAGGTTCTTTAAGTTCATGTTTTGACATAATCCCCGTGAAGTTTGCCTTCGTTAAGGTCAAAAGCACTGAGAGGAGGTTTATAATCTGTTCTTTAGGCTAACAGGAGCATTAGCAACTAAGATACGCTTTGGAAAGCTTTACAAGGAAGTTGCCTGGTCTGCTCAATGGACCAA